GTGGCGGCGCGAAGCTGAAGTGGGGAGGGGGGGCTCGATGATCAGTTGAGGGTCGCTAATTCGCAAAATAAGGTGATTTTAGGTGATGTTTAACTACTTGACCGTGATTTGAAACCAGTGTCAGTATAATAGGTAAGCATGTGGTTAACTTAAGCAAGAATTTAGTCCAATGAAACTGTTTATAATCTTGATACCTTCCGACGAAAATTGACCCTACCGGCGTCACCACGGTGTCCCCACCGATCGTTCTAACGTGACGTTGTTATGTGGGTGTTTTATAGATTATAGAGAATAGTAATATCACCGAAAAGATAGATAAAATGACAGTTGAATGACCGAAAAAAAAACAATTGAAGACAATAGTTCGTCATTAGAAGTTATTTAGTATAACTTTATTCGGAAAATTAATCTCAAGATCGAGTTGCCGTCCCCGGCGTTGTCAGTGACGTCGTATGATCTGTGTGCCATTTTTACCAATTAACCCTAAAGTAAAATATAGTTCAGCCATGTAGTACCTTGGAAATCAACCCAGAAACCCGGTAGTTTGTTGATTGTTTATTGGTAGCGTCCTTTCGCTGCCAAGTTTTTTGGCAGTTGCGTCCCATTGACATCCTCTTTTCAAATGTTAAAAAATAACCAACATAAATTTTAAGTATTAAAGTGCAATTCTCCAACTTTATCTCATGCAGCCACACACATGACGGGGCTCAGGTGGATATAGTAATTTTCCTAGTTTTTATGTATGACATTGCCATTTTCCGGCATCAGAATTCCCCAATTTTTAACATTTTCTCACCTCCATGATGGGGATAGGCCTTTGTGGATACAGTAATTTTTTTTGTTTTTATGTATTCGCCATTTTCCTGCATCTAAAAGTCTCTAATTCTTAAAATTGTTTTACCTCAGCCTAAACCATGGTGGGCTGAGATAGATGGATTAAAATTTTCATAAATTTTAAGCATACGAGTGTTGTTTGGGGCATCTATAAAGTCTCAAATTCTTGCAATTGACTCATCTGCGCCCCAAAACCATGGTGGGGCTCAGATGGATATCGTAAATTTTGTACTATTCAAGTGCTTTTTTGTGCATCTAACGAGTCTCAACTTCTCAAAATGTTCTCACATGAGCCGCAACCATAGTGGGGCTCAGTTGAATATGGTAGTTTTTAGAATAGTAAGTACTTAATTAATTAATTAATTGGGGGGGGGGTTACTCAATTTGTCAAAAACATTATTATTATTAGGTAATGTAAGTTCCAAATAAAATACTGAAATTTTTGCGTCACCGCCAACCACGATGGTACTGACGTGATGTGGACTCTCATTACATCAGCACACCCTTCTTTAAAATATGGATACGCCACTTTGCTGAAAACAATAGTTAAGATAAATATATTTCCATTCGTTTTGTTGTTCATGTAAATGTCTGATTGGTTATTACTTTAAAACAATGCTAAAAACACAGTGTCAATACGAACATTTACACATGTAAGACTGAGCTGAGCGACTCCGAATTAAGGTGGAATTAGTGGTTATGTGACGTTTGTCATGCACTGTATTATGCGCTGCAACCATAGTGGGGCTCAGTTGAATATGGTAGTTTTTAGAATAGTAAGTACTTAAATTCAATTTTTGGGTACCTAATTAATTAATTAATTGGGGGGGGGGGGTTTACTCAATTTGTCAAAAACATTATTATTATTAGGTAATGTAAGTTCCAAATAAAATACTGAAATTTTTGCGTCACCGCCAACCACGATGGTACTGACGTGATGTGGACTCTCATTACATCAGCACCCCCTTCTTTAAAATATGGATACGCCACTTTTCTGAAAACAATAGTTAAGATAAATATAGTTCATGTAAATGTCTGATTGGTTATAACTTTAAAACAATGCTAAAAACACAGTGTCAATACGAACATTTACACATGTAAGACTGAGCTGAGCGACTCCGAATTAAGGTGGAATTAGTGGTTATGTGACGTTTGTCATGCACTGTATTATGCGCTATAGAAATGGAAGACCATAATGTAATGGGAATGAACGTCTCTGGCTTGTGTGGATTTAAACAATGTCCTAATGGCAATGTTCAAAATAAATGTAAATCAAATAAATATGACTG